AAAAGATATAGGGAATAATAATAATGTAGATATAGTTAAATAATAAATTTTTTAAATTTTAAAGGATTTAAAATTTAAAAAAGATTTTTAAGGTTAGGAATTTTAATTAAATTAGTAAATTATATATTATAGTTTAAAGGGCTATATTAAGGATAATATATAATTATTAAGGCGAAAGAAAAGATATTTACTTTCGATTAATAATATATTAATAACCTAAATATTTAGAACTTAATAATAATTTCCGTTAAAAAACTCGAGATTTAATAATAAATTTTTAATTTAAATTAAAAAGCCGACGGTATTAATACCTATAGTTTATATTAAAAAATTATTTAAACTTTATAGTGTAATACTTTCGATATTATTAATATATTTTTAAAGGAGTATTTTACTTTTAAGTATATTAACTTCGCTTTATTTTAAATTTATTTTAGCCGGCTTAAGGTCCTTCGCCGTTATTTTAATATAATAAAAATTAAAATTAATTATATAACTTACTTTTAAATTACCTTAAACGGTATTAAAACCGTATACCCCGATTTATATAACCGGTTAATAAAAAAAATAGAAAATAGTATTATAACCTAGTTGCTTTTTTATTAGGAGTATAGCGCTAAGGCCGTTATAGAGGAAACTATGCTGGCTTACTTTAAAATTATTATCGAGATTATTAAAGCCCCGGCCGTAACTATACTTTTACTTACTATATTATTAACCTTAACGAAAAAATATAATTAATATATTAAAGGCTTAAAGAAAAGTAATTAATATTATATAGGTTATAGTTGTTACTATTCGAAAAGTAAAGCCTATTAATAATATAATTTTAATAAAACTTTAAAGGATTAAAAGTATAGGGAAAAAGTATAAATAAATAAGTAAAAGAAGCGGTAAAATATTAGTTCGTTAATAAAGATTTTTTAAGGCTATACTAATAACGTTATTAATATTAAATTTTCGAAGGACCGACTTACTTATAGTACCCTAATATTATTTAATAACTTCGTTAATATATTATTCCTTATTTACTATAATAATAATTAATCGGATTTTTATTTCGGCTTTTAAAAGTAATACTCTTTTTAGTAAATACCTTTAAAGTTTAATAAGTTATTAAAGTATTTAAAAATTATATATATTACGACTTTAGATATATAAATTTCGTATTTAATAAATTAAAGTAATTTACCGAGCTTTATTTATTATTTAAAGGAAAGGAAAAGAAATTCCTTTCGTTATTAAGAAATATTATAAAGTATAGTTACTAAAGTATTATAGTACTATAATCTACCCTTTTAAATAATTAAATTATTATTTTAAAGTTTAAAAAAGTAATATATTACCTATAGACGCCCGTTAATTTAATATCGGTAAGTAAGTTACTCGATAAAGGTATTTTTTAAAATTAAAAAAGTTATAATTTAGTTTTTAAAGGTATTAAATAAGTAATATATAAGTTAATTAAAAATAATAATATATATTAAATAAATACGATATTTAATATTAATTTTAATAAAATATTTTTAACGAAAATTTCTATTAAAGCCGTAATAATATTTATTAATTACCGAATAATATATTGCTACCTAATATATATTAATAAAAATAATATTTATAAAGTTTATATATAAATAAATATTAAACTCGTTAATAATAATTTTTTTTATAAACCTTATATAATAATAAAAATAATAAATTAATTAAATTTATTAATCCTTTCGTAAATTAATAATCCGTTTAACTTTATTTATATTAACGTTATTATTTATAAAAACTTTAAATATTTAAGTTATTAATACTTTATTTAATATATAAATATATAAAATAATTATAAATAAATTAATTTTATAATAAAAAAAAATAGGTATTTAATAAAGTTAAGGATTTCGAAACGAAAATCGTGTATTAAACCGGGTATAAAATTAATATTATTGGCTTTAACGGTAGTACGGAATTTACTTAAAGCTCTAAAACCTTTAACGATAGCTGTATAGCCGTTTAGGCCGACTAGGAAGGTATTACTATCTTTAAAACCGTACTTTATTTATTATAAATAAATAAAAAAGTAAAGAGGGCTGTAAGGATTATATTTAATTATACTAGGGCTATTATATTAACCTATAAAGTATTAAAGAAACTATTTTTATTTATTATATAATCTATAGTTTATATAAATAATTTATTACCCTCGAAGGTTAACGAGGAAAATATTAGTACTTACGAAAAGTATATTATAAAGCTTAATATACCCGAGGGCGAGCGGAAATTATATATTTAGTATTTATATTTATACTTTTATAATATATATTACTATATTAAACTAGCTTACCGGGTTAATTTAAATAAATTTACCGTTAAGGTAGAGAAAAGAAAGTTTATTAATTACGTAAATATATATAGTAAAATATATTAAATTTAAAACTTAATTATTAATAAAATTATAAAGGTTAACGCTATAAAGTTTAATAAAAGCGATTTTTATAGGCCTAACGATAATAAATATAAAAATATTAAATATAAAATAATCTTTATTAATAATACTTGTGACGAACCCCTGTACAGAACCTCTAAAAGGGATACTCGGTTAAAGGCTTC